GCCATCAGCAACTGGAGCGCAGAAAGGGCTCCCTGGGCAAGAGCCATGGCCCGGCCACCTCCCTGCTGGCTGTGGCTTCTGGGGACCCTGGCGGGGCTCTCGGCGACCCCAGCCCCCAAGCGCTGTCTGGAGAAGCAATACTGGGTCCAGGGAGAACTGTGCTGCCAGGCGTGTAAGCCAGGTAAGAGCAGGAGGCCTCGCAGCCGGGGGGGAAGGGCAGCAGAGAGTGCGTCTGACCTCAAGCAAGGACAGGAATCCTGTACCACCTTGAAGAGGGCAGAGAAGTGGCCTTCCTTGGGCCTTGACCCTGGACCTCTGCTCACAGGGACTTTCCTCGTGAAGGACTGTGACAGGCCTGGCAAGGCTGCTCAGTGTGACCCGTGCGTCCCGGGGGCCTCCTTCTCACCAGACCACCATTCCCGGCGCCACTGTGAGAGCTGTCGGCATTGTAACTCCGGTGAGATGGGCAAGCCTCTGGGGGAGCAAGGTGGCAGAGCTCGGTGTGGAGAAGCAAGGAGGAGGGGGTCTGAGCTCGTCACTTCGAGGCTACTGCAAGTGGAGCCAATGCAGGGCACTGGGCAGGGCAGGGCACATATTGATGTGGGGAGAACTCTGGTGTTACAGGGAAGGGGTCAGCAGAATTGGGGGGCTGCCAAGACTGCACGTACAACTCAGATCACGACAAGAAAAAGGAGTAAGTGGAAAAAAAGGTGAGGAAGGAAGTGGCCCTAGGTCCCCAGATTTCAGATGAGCGACCCCCCCCCCATTGATGAACTGGCTGGCTGAAGTGCACGTTTGTTTAGAACCTGAAGTACCTCTTTCTTAGGGTATAACAATACCAGCCAGTGGAGAACATTCTTCTTCTTCGTTTTTTTTTTTTTTTTTTTTGCACGAAAGCCAATTTAGGAAAATGAATATATATGTGGCCCATGTTTTTCTTGTTTATTTTGTAATTTTATCTTTCTTCAATGAAGAAGTGTAATGTCTGCAGCTCTGTTATGAATTCTTTTATTATTCCTCCAGCTTAGCTAGAATTTCAGAAACTGTGCCAGCCAGGATAGAGTCACAGACTCTAAAGCGGCCCCTTTGGACAAATGTTCCCCCTAGGAACCCTTCTGAGGACTCCGGAACCGAACTACTACACTGCTTACCTATAAAATGTGCTTGGTCTCAGTAGGCCTTTTACACTGTCGTCTTTAAAAATGAACTCAGCAAAAGGTTTTGCCATTGCCAATCAGTCAAAAAACAACATCTTAAATACACAAGTATTCCTCAGTCCACTTAACTTAAAAATATGTTAAGGGATGCTTTTCTCTTCTTGGCAGCAACCCCAGCAGGGTTGGAATACTTTGGTCAGAGCCTCCCCACTCACTGTAGGCCCCACCAGAAGGCCATTTCCCAATACTGAGCCTGCCCGCGCGCCCTTCGCTGTGCTCCATGACCCTTCTATATAACACTCAGCCCAGAGGTCTCCACAGCACCCATGCAGCGACTGGCTGCAGGACTCCAGGGGATGGTGGCCAGGGGTGAGGTGGTCAGGGGGAGGCTGAATGAGTATGGCCCCCTCTGGACCTCAGTGTTCCCATGGGTAAGATGGAGAAGTGCCTGACATCGGCCTGGAATTTGGGGCACAGGTTATATGTGGTGAAGAGAACTCCCAGGTCTCTGGATCCTCATCACTGAAAACAATGGCAATCCTTCCACGGGTAACCAAGCCCAGCCCTGCCCTTAACCCTTCTTCCCTTTGGGCAGATACCCTCCTGACCACTGCCTCTGGTGATCTTCCTCACCTTTGCCTATCTCTTCTCTCTCTCACGGTCACTGTTACCTCCCCTATCACTGTTCTCGTCCTGCAGACCCTTGTCCAGGCTGGCTCACGATTCCTGGTAAGCCACAAGGAAACCAAATTCTGGTAGCAATTACTAGTCAGAATTCCAAAAGAAGCAACCATAGGGGCATAAGGATGGGAAGAAGGAATCTGTGTCCCTCTCCCTTTTCTGACAAAAAGCATCTGCTAAAGGAATTGTTAGAGCCCTGGTCGTCATCTCTGGCATCCTCCAGCCTTCCTTTCTGCACCCCTCTTCTGCCTGTCAGGAAAGGCACTGTCCCAGGGCCCCACCAGGCTAGGCTCAAGCCTGGCCCAAATCCGGGTGCTGGTGCCTTCCCCAGAATCACCTTCCTCTTTTTAACACTGACCACCTGTGAGCCCAACCCAGCCCAGTGCCCCTCACATCCTCCTCCCCTAGTATAATTTATCGGCAGTCACTCAGCACCTGATGTCTACACTTGAAAAAAATTTATATTCTAAAGGCAAACTATGTTATTAATCAAGGAACTCTCTAGTAACAGGGACCATAGCAGCACTATTCCTGACTGCTTAAAAACTGGAAACTACCCAAATGCCCATTAACAGAACAGACACATGAATCATGGTATATTCATACAGTGAAATGCTATACAGCATGAGAATGAACAGTCTGCAGTTACGATATGGATGAATTTCACAAAGGATTGAGTAAGAGTGTCAGACACAAGTGAGTACCCAGGCATGACTACACAAATACAGGACAAAAATAAGCAAAATGAACTTGCAGTGTTAGGAAGTCAGGCTTGTGGCTATCTGTGGGTGAGAGGATGTAGTGCCTAGAGAGGAACACTGCTGCTCTTGTTCATGGGTCCAGTTTGTAGCAAGTTCACACTTATGACCTGTGTACCTCTCTGTCCACCCACTGAGAAGTTATCAAAATGCCAGTGAATAGGAGAGAAAATCCTGCAAGCTGTTTCTACTTTTTATAGTTGGCATTTCTGAACCATGAATAAAGGAAAAGCCCCAAGTGTCTCCTTTAATGATGCTAGTAATGAAGGCAGAGGCACTGGGTGACAGGAAGGGAGGGGCAGGCCTTTGTGTGGTTGGGGCAGGAGTCCCCGGAGGTGGGCCTGGGATGGGAGCCCAGGGCAGGATTTAGCAAGTGCGCCCGGCAGGTCTCAGAGGCCTGAGCTTCTTGTGTTCCTCTCGCCCTCCTCTGTCCCCAGGTCTTCTCATCCGAAACTGCACCCTCACCACAAATGCAGTGTGTGCCTGCCCCAAGGGCTGGCAGTGCAGGGACAAGGAGTGCACGGAGTGCGATCCTCCTTCAAACGCCTTGCTGACACTGCCTCAACCATCCCGGGCCCCGGGCCCACACCCACAACCCACCCACTTACCTTATGCCAAAAGTAAGTTCCAGGCAACACTTTGTCCAGTCACGGGGGTAAGGGTCGTGCCCCAACCACCACCCTCCCCACATAAGCTGCCTGGTCGGCCGGTCAGCCTTCCCATCTCCCCGTGCGTCTTAGGCCTTGGGCCTTCCTTCAGCCCAGGCTTGTGCCCTAGGAGGTTCCCTGCTGCTGCTCACCCTGTCTCTTTTTCCAGAGATGCAGGAGGCCAGGACAGTCCGGCAGGTGCAGACTCTGGCTGACTTCAGTTGGCTGCCTGCCCCAGCTCTCTCCACCCACTGGCCACGTGAGTTTTCTCCACATTCTCTACCTCTGGAGAGACTGCATACAGGAGAGGGAAGCCAGCCAGAAAGCTCCTAGGAGTCAGGGGAAGAAGGGGAAGAAGCAGAGTCTAGGGATTAGGAAAGAACTTGGTCCAATGGTAGCAGCGGGGGAAGGGGTGGGAGAGAGATGGGAGGAGGGGTGACAGCCTGCCTGGGCTGAGGGGAAACAAGACCTAGGCCCTCTCCAAAAACCCTTGCATGGCTCCTGCCTATCACAGCCCAAAGGTCCCTGTGCAGCTCAGATTGCATCCGCATCTTTGTGATTCTCTCTGGAATGTTTCTTGCTTTCACCATGATCGGAGCCCTGTTCTTCCATCAACAAAGAAAACACAGACTAAGTAAGAGACAAAATACAGGTCTTCAGTCCTGTCCCTGCACCCCACCCTACCACCCCAGCCCCGCTGTCCATGCCTGGAAACTCACAGAAGCCTTCCTCACTCCATCTTTACCAATCCTGGCTCCCACCTCCTCTTCCTTTCCTCTTAGCTGGCAGCCCCCTGACAGCCCTCCCCCAGGCTGACCCTCCTTGGTTTATCTCCACTCCCTTCACCACCCCCCACGCCCCCTGCCCGCCAAGGTTCATCTGATCCTCCTCCCGCAGACAAAGAAGAAAGTCCAGTGGTGCCTGCAGAGCCTTGTCCTTACAGCTGCCCCAGGGAGGAAGAGGGCGGCGCCATCCCCATTCAGGAAGATTACCGAAAACCAGAACCTGCTTCCTACTCCTGAGCTTGCGCACCGCGCGATGGGGCGGCGGAGGGGGAGGGTCATCACTACAATAAAATCCCTGCCTCCATCCCAACCCAGCAGCCATCCGCCGGGAATGAGACCTGGCACACCCTACCCCCACTCCCCGGCCCCACCCCCACCCCCACCCCCGGGTTTCAATACCATCCTGTCATCAAGACCCCTTCCTGTGCGCAGACTTGAGAAAGTGCCTTTTGGAGATTGGCAGTGACAAGGGCTCATGGGTCCCGTGTGTGCCCTGGCACAGCCACCTTCACCCCTGCGCTGCAATGGAGGGCTGGGGCCCTAGCTGGAGAACACACTTTCCCCTACGAACCACCACGTGCTGTATCACTGACCTAAAAATTCCGCAAAATAAAGTGCCAGCCAACCACACACCGAAGCTCTCCCCGCGCTGTCTCTCTGAAATTCCAATCTCACGGTGCAGGCCACTCCCAGCCTCTTCTCCCAGATCCGGCCGGGATCTGAGGGAGGAGCTTTCTCCAGTGCAGACTAGTGTTGGGGCCCGGCCAAGTCGGGGGGTGGGGGTCGCGAGTGGGTGCGGCACCCACAGAAACTGAAGAAAGGTCCCCAGTAGCCCTTCGGTCTCGCCCTTCCCCCTCCCCCTTATTTCAGCTCCACTTTTTCTTGGGTGGGGAGCAAAAGGGTGCCTGCAGTCAAGTCAGGTCTTGAGATAACCAGAGTATTTGGCGGGGGAGAAAAAGGAGAACAATGAACACGACTCCGGCAGGAGCACCCGGTGGCTTCGCTCCCAGGCAAGGCAGCCGTGGTGACACTCAAAGTGAAAGCGAAAGAGAAGGAGGCCAAGGACTGGCGAGAAAGCAACAGGCCGGCGAGGGTGGTTTGGAGAAGCCCCCTCTTCCCCAGCCGGGCCGTGCCCGCGGGAGGCCGTGCAGAAAGGCGGTGGGGGACGCGGGGGGACGAGGGGCGGGCGCGCCGCCCCCATGGGCACGGGGGAGCGATGGTGCCTGCTGCTCTGCCTGGCTCTGTCCCGGGTGGCGGCTGACCCAGGTGAGTGGGGAGCACTGGCTGGGGTGTGGGGGGGGTGTCGGGCCCAGGGCGCACCAGGTAGCCACCCACCGTGAGATTCCCGAAGGGGAAAGGGTTGGGGGGAGGGGCAGGGACGGCTTCCTATCGCCTCTCCTAAGCCCAACAGGAACCAACAGGAACAAGGCTGGCAGAGTAGGAGACCAATGGTGCTGGGGAGAGGGTAGAAGCCTGTGGGAAAGGCCAAATGATGAGAAGAGGGGCCTCCTGCGTGGATGTGGTGGGGGCCTGGCCGAGAGGGCACTGCCTGGGAGCAGACGGTGAAGAGGAAGGCTTCCCGGGGCTAGTAAATCCCCGCGGGAGGTGAGCCCTGGAGGTGGGGGAGGGGAAGGCCACCTGCAATGGCAGAAAGCGGAGCCCACCTAGTGGGCTGGCTGGGAAATTGAAAAGATGGTTGCCAAGGCCCCTAGCCACACAAGTGTCCTGTCTCCTCTCCCAGTGGCAATTTTGCTCATTTATTTGCTTTTGCTGAGAATTTCTTTGACTGAAGAGGTAGTTTTTTTTGCAACAGTTGTAGTAAGAATAAAAACAAAGTCTTCTGAGCGAGGCAAATCGAGCATTTTAAATAATTCATACCAAGCATGTACCTAGAGTAGCAGGGGCTTCCCAGAAGGCTGATTTGGGGGTGACGAGAGAGACACAGAGACAGCTAGGACCCTGGAAGATTTTGACCCCTTCCCTGATGACTCCACAGTTGGGGTGGGTGACCCTCGAGCACAGAAGCAACTCTCTGGAAAGAGGGTGCTCACTGCCATCTTTTAACCTGCAGCTGAAAGGCAGTGGCGGGCAGTGGATGTGGTCCTAAACTGCTTCCTGGTGGAGGAAGGTAGGCAGCATGGAGGTTTTGCCAGCAGTAGGAACACGGTGAAGGCCTTGCTCGTGCTGAGGCAGATACCAGTGCTGGATGACAGCTCCCTGGAAGGCTTCACCAATTTCCAAGGGGGCACACTGGCCAAAGACAACCCACCTGTTACCTTCGAGGCCTCAGGTAAGAACCCTCCACTCTATGTCACAATCTTTCTGGGCTCCCTCGGCTGAGACAGCCCAGTTCCCGAGTACACCCACCATGCCGGCTTCCCATGGGCCAGGTGTCCTCAAACCAACTAGACTTCTGTGCTGCCCTTCTCCCCCAGTGAACCTGGTACAGATTCCCCAGGCCGAGGCCTTGCTCCATGCTGACTGCAACGGGAAGGAGGTGACCTGTGAGATCTCCCACTATTTTCTCCAGGCCACTGAGAAGGCAGCTTGGTTCATCACCAATGTGCAGGTATCCGGAGGGGGACCTAGTGTCTCCATGGTGATGAAGACTCCCAGGGATGCTGAAAATGGGGCTGTCTTGCACCCCACACTGAACCTGCCCTTGAACCCCCATGGGATGGTACAGACTGCAGGTGAGAAAATTAAAAGTAGCAGAAAGAAAGTTTGGGTTGTTTTTTTTTTTCCAAGTGGTCAGCTATAGAGGGGGAATAGAAGGAGAACGAAGGGAACAAGCCCACCTCTATCCACATCAGTCATCTCAAGGTGTCCCTAGCCTCGGTCCTTTCTCCTAAAGACCCAAATAATTGGATTGGGATAATTTTCACCTCTGGGATAATTTTCACCTCACTCATCTAAGGAAATGACATGTGATGCTCTATTCACATATGCTGTCCCTAGCAGTCTTATTCAGCCAAGTACCAGTTGTAGCCCAGTGAAAGCCAGCCTGGTCTGGCGCTTCAAGATGATTAGAGCAACTACAGTGATGCAAATTCGTTCATTAGCTCTTATTAGTAAAACCTGGTCCTTGCCCTCTCCCACCCAGCACATCCCACCCAGCGGGTACAGGAAATTGAGAACATGATGATAGGTTTCTCCAGAATTCATCAAATTCAGTATTTTGCCTCCAGAAAGAGACAACCAAGTCCAGAGATTAAGGGGCTACCCTCCTATCCATAGAAAGCCCCAGAACACTCGAAGCTTTCTGTGGTACAACCTAAATTTATCCTGCCACATTAGAAAAGAGGGGTTCTCATATCTGTCCAGTGGCACAGCTAAGTACCCCCCCTTTTATCTTGGGCTATTTCAAACCTACAAGAAAAGGTGAAAGAATAATGGGCAAAAAATTGGGTACTGAATACCCAATTATTAATATTTTGCCACATTCTCTCTCGATAAATGGAAGAATAGATTGCCTCCCCCCTGAACTAACTGAAAGTAAATTGCAGATATCTCAACACTTCACCCCAAAAGTTTCCATGCAGAGCATGTATTCATTTAGAACACAAAATTGATAACCAAAGACAAGGATATTCTCCTTTATAATCACAAAACCATCACCCCAGCAGCAAACCAAGGTGGGGGAGCGGTTTACAGTGGTGCAGGCAATAAGGGGGTACACTGTGTTAAGAACTGAACAACATATTCTCACCATCACACCATCACCATATCGGCAATCTTGAACACTATTGGTGATAAAATACTCCTCTCTGCCAGGGCACTCTTCCCATTGCCCCCACCACTGCTTGCTACGCCACTGAGCATCAGACTTAAGAAATTTTTTAATTGATACAGTAGTACTGTCAATATAGAGTCCAAATTCAAACTTCTCCAGTTGTCTCAAGAATGTTCTTTATAGCTTTCTGGTTTGTTTTGGGGATTTTTTTTTTTTTTTTAAGGCCAGGATTCAAACAAGGATCATGCATTGCATTTAGTTGTCCTGTGCCTTTAGCTTCCTTTTTTTTTTTTTTTTAAGATCTTATTTATTCACCTGACAGAGAGAGAGAGAGAGAGAGAGCACTAGCAGGGAGAGCAGGAGAGGGAGAAGCAGACTCCCTGATCAGCAGGGAGCCCAACACGGAGCCTGATCCCAGGACCCCGAGTTCATGACCTGAGCCAAAGGCAGGCACTCGACCAACCAAGCCACCCAGGTGTCCCAAGCTTTTAGCTTCCTTAAGTCCAGAACATTCTTTTCCTCGCACTGACATTTGGGAGAGTCCAGGCCCACTGTCTCAAAGAGTATCCCACCATTTGGATGTGTCTGATTGTTCCTCATTAGATTCAGGTTCAGCACGTTTGGCACAAATACTACCACTGTGTGCTTTTTAAAACTCTTACTCCTATGTAGTCTCACAGCAGCCTTTCCTTAAACAGATGACCCTGGCAACCCTTAGTGACTTGCCCAAGGTCACAGAGCTAGTAAGTGGAAGAAGCAGGGTTCCAGAGCTTTTTCTGCTATTCCAGTGGTCTGACCTGAAGGTCAACATTAACCCATAATTTTGCATGTGTACTTTTCTGGTGAGAAGTCCGTAGCTTTTGTCAGACTGTCCAGGGGTAAGTGACTCAAAAACAGTTAGGATTACCATGTGTGCCAGGTTGCCTTTCCAGAGCACCATTTCTTTGTGGTTCCATCTAGTGGGAGATGAGCTCAACCAGCCTCATTGTCCAGAGGAGGAGGCAGGGGCAGGTGGACGCCCACCACATGCCCACAGCTAGAGATCAGGTGGACTCAAGGAGGAAGTAGCCCACAATCACCCTTCTTTTTCTCACTACAGTGGAGCTCCAAGTGACCACACAGACCCCGTCCCTGAACTTCCTGCTGGGGTCCTCAGCCTCCCTGCACTGCGGCTTCTCCATGGCACCGGGCTTGGAGCTGACCGGTGTGGAGTGGCGGCTGCGTCATAAGGGCAACGGCCAGCTGGTATACCGCTGGACCAGGGCGCAGCGGCAGGCCAAGCGGGAGGGCGCCACCCTGGAGCCTGAGCAGCTACTCCTGGCCGGGGATGCCTCCCTCACCCTGCCTAGCCTCACTCTGAAGGACGAGGGGACCTACATTTGCCAGATTACCACCTCTCTGTACCAAGCTCAACAAATCATCCAGTTCCACGTCCAAGGTTAGGCCATACTCAGTTCTCCAGGGAGAGGGGAAGGGATACGCCTATGCGAACATTTTGCGGGACAGAATCCAACACAGGGGCAATTTCTCGGGAGGCAGACTGCATTGCCACGAACTAACTGCCATCTACATCCTAGGGGCACAGACTGCCCGTCAGACTCTAGGATAATTCCACCAGGCAGTGTCCCAGCCCCAGGTCCTGCTGCCCTGTCCCAGCTGGCTGTCTCCCAAGTACCCCACTCCTCTGGACCACATCCTGAGGAGGGGCAGCAGCAAACCAAGGGGGGGCCGTGGGAGCCGTCCGACTGGCAGGAGTATTTCATCACTGATGTCCCTGAAAATCAGTGGCCTATCATGATGATAAGAAGCCAACCTTTACTTGGTTTTACTATTGCTTTTCAACTACCTGTGGAAGATGTGCCCCCTTCTGGCCTGCATCCAGGGTGGACCCCTTACACCCAGCTTGGGCACTCCACTGAGGGGTTAATTGACTTCAGCTCCCACAACCTACTCTCACTGCCAGCAGGAAGAGAAAGAAGGCTTTGGGCAACTCTGCTGTCAGGTTGGAGCCCTCTGGAATCTTATTCCTCATTCTTTCTTCCAGCTACCCCCAAAGTACAACTGAGCTTGGAGAACAAAACTCCGCCAGCCACCCTCATCTGCAGCATCGCTGGCTATTATCCTCTGGACATGGCCGTGACATGGACCCAAGAGGAACCAGGCGGAGCCCCGGTCCCAGTCTCTGGTGCCTCCTTCTCCAGCCTCCGGCAAAGCACAGCAGGCACCTACAGCATTTCCTCCTTCCTGAGGGTGGAACCTGGCCCTGCAGGCACCACTTACACCTGCCAGGTCACCCACAGCTCCCTGGAGCAGCCCCTCAGGGCCAGCGCCCAGGTCTCCCCACCAGGTACTAGGAGCGCCCTCCTTTCCCCACCTCCCGACTTGGGCTCAAGGCTCTCCTGCCCCCAGCTCGTCTCTGGCCTTGTTCTGCTTCCCACAGCACTTCGTTGAGCCTCCGCTTCTTGGTTCCCAAGGCAGCAGCCTCCATAGCTGCCCCCACATCCCAAGATTCCGCTATACCCCAGGTTCCAGGGCACCAGGCAATGTACTGAGAGCTGGAGATCAAGGGTGAATTGTTCCTGCCCTCAAGCAGCTTAGTCAGCTTGGAGGGATGGACTAGGCAGTCAGGGAGGACGGCCTGGAGGAGACAAACCAGCCAAGCGAGCTAGCTCAGCAGGGAGGGGAACAACCAAGATGGAAAGAATGGCACATGGTGAAGGCCAAATTCTAAGTCTCAGGAGAATTTGGGGAACTGCAGAGCTAGAGCCGGGGGTGTGTGGGAAAAGGGAGAAGTGGCCCTGAAGCTTGAAAGTAATTACATTTATTGAGCATTTACATGAAGCAAGCACTGTACTAAGCACTTAGCTGTATGATCACATGTATTATCATGACTCCCATTTTATTGATGAGCAAACTAGCACTTATGAATGTTAGGTAATTTGCCCAAGGTCACCCACCTAGTAAATGGTAAAATATGAAAAATGGGCAGCCTGACTGCCCAACAGCCTTAAACCCTCTATTGCTATTAGTGGGCAGATCACAATGGGCCTTCAAGCTGGAATGTCATCCTAAAGTCACAGAGTGTCATCGAACAGTTTTATTTTATTTTTTTTAAAGATTTTATTTATTTATTTGACAGAGAAAGATAGCGAGAGAGGGAACACAAGCAGGGGGAGTGGGAGAGGGAGAAGCAGGCTTCCTGCTGAGCAGGGAGCCCGATGCGGGGCTTGATCCCACTGGGACCATGACCTGAGCCGAAGGCAGATGCTTAACAACTGAGCCACCCAGGCGCCCCATCATCGAACGGTTTTTAAACAAGAAATGCAAATGTCCAGGAGCATTGGGCATTCTTTGGTGGCTCGCCAGACTGCAAGCTTCCCCAGAACTGGGGTTTTTTTCTCAACTTACATCATTCCCCAGCTAGTCGCAAAATTTCAGTTCACCTGTGAACTCATCTAACCTAAATCTCTCTGAATGTCCCAAGGTGGGAAGGAGTAGGAAATTCTGTGTGGAGGAGCAAACGGATATCCAACAACCTTCAACAAGTACGAATACTACAGTGTGCCCAGTTCCTGGGTGAAAGCAGAACGCTTGACATAAGCTCCTTAACCGGGGATGGGGACGCATTCGTGCACACGCGCTCTCTCTCTCTCTCTCTCTCTCTTCCTCTCTCTCTCCCCCCGCTTTTTCCCTCTTGCTGGGGTAAGTGTGGGCTTGGAAATTATTCCAACCTACTGATTCCTGCCCATGCTGCTCTCAACCTACAGAGCAGAAAACAGCCTTTGGAGTCCTTTTTGCCAGCAGCCTCTTCCTTCTTGCCCTGTTGTTCCTGGGGTTTCAGAGACGGCAAGGTAAGCACCTGCTTGCCCTCAGCCCTGCCCCTGCCCCTCCTTACTTGTAAAATCAGCCGGATCTAGCCACCTCCCCACCCAGACCAGGGATGAAGCCCAAGTGTCCTGAGTTCCAGCCAGTCTCCATACCACAGCCCCCTGCTTTTGGGGTTACCTCAACTGAAACCAACCTCCTTCCCTCTTGTTTTCTCCCAGCTACCTCACCAAGATCTGCCAAGACTCTGAGGCCCTCTGGGTAACCGCTCTCCTGCCTCTGAGAAAAGGAAAAAGTAGTCACATTCTCCCAGAAGGACTCCAGCCAAGTCTCAGAGCTCAAAAAGGCCCCAAGAAAGGCATGAAGGCACAGATCCTGGGGGCTCTGGCTCTGTGTGGATCTCTGCCTTCCTGCATTGTGTCCCTGGGCTGAACACCAAGGGAGAAAACATGAAGAGGTGAGAGGGTGGTAGGAAAGCAGAGTGTCTAGGTGAAGGTTAAAAATGAGCCTGTGGTAGGAAAAGAAAATGGGAAGGTATTAAGAAAGGAGTAAGTGGGCAAGTCATGTTCTCAAGGTTTGTGAGATCGAGCCCCACAGTGGGCTCTACCCTCAGTGGGGGGTCTGCTTGAAGATTCTCTCCCTCTGCCTCTCCCCCAACTTGTGCTCTCGTTCTCTCTCTAAAATAAATAAATCTTTTTTAAAAAAAGGAGCAAGTGGGGGGCAGTGGGACAAAGGGGTGGGGGTTGGGCCGTAGGAAGCATGTGAACTCTGCCCAAATAAAAGCCCCTTGTGTCCTCAGAAACAAAGCTTTTCCACTTTCCTGTCTTTCCCCACACTGGACCCATCTGAGCCGTGTCCCCAAGCCAGCTGCACCAACTTGCAGGGTGTTCAGGGTGTGAAACGAAGGCCCTCAGAGGCAGCCCTGGGGCACCATGTCAGTTGCCCTGTGTAACCGTGAGCTGCAATTAAGGTAATTTTGGACAGCTACTGGGTGTTTCAGGATACCTACAAGCACCTCACTCCCTCAGCTGCAGGCAAGAGATTTCTCCTTTCATCCACTTCTAAAATGTGTCTGGTCAGGACAGTGGAACCCAGCAGAAGAAAACTGGCCGTGAGGCTGCTGGGGAACAGGGTGTGTTCGCAGAGGCCTCATCTGGGCGCCCCCTCGGACAGGCCGGGCAGCCTGACAACCTAGGAAGGGGGTAGAGGGGAGGCGTCTGAGAAGACCTGCAGTAGTTTCTGATGTGATGGCTGAGATGCCCACCCAACTTCCTGTCATCACTTTCTCTCACTAGCACCAGGTACGAACGCAGAGTGTAGAGACCACTTCCTCTGCCAACACACGGATCTTTAATCTTGAGAATGCCACCCGGCACACATAGCCAGCCTTCCGGCCTCACGCAACATCACACTGTGGAAGGAAAACAACCCCTCCCCCACCCACCCCTCCTCAGTTACTCCAACCCAAACAACAACCAAGGCAGTTTAGTGGTAGGAATTTATATTTTTTTTGCCTTTGTTCAGGATACATGAAGTTGATAAATATGCCACATGCCTTTGGTGGAAGTACAACGGTTATTATTCTATACAAGTATGAGGTTGGGGGTAGGAAAAAAGACAGAGGTGATGACAGACACACAGTGGAAACCCCACATCGCCTCATGGCAAACCAAGGAAGAAGGGGATGTGGGAAGCTCGGCTTCATTTGACTGCAAAGTCCCAGGGTTTGGTTGCATATTTGCTCATGCACATGGGTGGTGGGAGGGAAGAGGGACAGCAAAGACACAGAAGAGGGTACAGGGTGGGGTGAGAAAGAAAGTAGAAGGCCAAACATCCCCAAAAGAACAAAGCCAACTATATCTGGTGAGCCTCAGAGGGACAGAAACCCAGGAAAGAATTCCTGTGACAGGGCTGGGTGGGCCAAGAGTGCGAATTTGCTCCAGGCTCGGGACACATCGAGGACAGTGGTGGTTCTTCTCCAGCGGTGACCCCCTGCATTAGGCAAGGAGGAGCCCAAAGGAGAGTGGAGACCTTCGAGGGGGGCCGTTGGGAGGGTACACTGACTGCTTTCTTCCAGCTCTTCAGTCCTGCCCTGGGGCAGGACGAAGGGAATGTGGGAAAAGGGCAAAGGGAGAGGAAGGATGGTTTTCTGCAATGAAATGCTGCTGCATGGAAAGCGAGCATCCAGACCCGGCCCGGCCTGGCCTCAGCCTCTTCCTGCTTGTGGGCCAGAGGAGAGGAGGAATAAGGGGTCATGGGTGTGCCTCCTAGCTGCTCCCAGCCTCCCTCCTCCCCTCACACCTGGGTCTGTCCCACTTCACACCCTATCCTAAAGCCCAGCCATGGCCTCCCATCCTCAGGTTCCATTGTCTGCCCTCACAAACCAGGCAGAGAGGAAAGGAAAGGAGGCAAAGTGGAATTCATAAGGGTACCGGTGCTTTAGAAGGGGAACACAGTGCAGGAAGAACAGACAGGTGGCTCTAGATAAGAGGTCCCATGACAGCACAGCAGTGCACATGCGCACCTGTCCACAGACGGTCCTGCCTCCCACCCAAGACCGGGTTGGTGGGTATACTGGACTTCTCGGAATACTCAGAATCGGCCAGCCTCAGGAAGGACCTCCTGCTTCATCCCTGTCTTTGCTAAGTACATGGGAAGGGTGTAGAGGAAAGGAGTCCCCGAGAGCCCAAGGATCCTCATTTCTAACACCTCACACGTTATCAATGGGCAGGGAGAAGCAGAACCCTCCCTAACGAACAGGCAATAAGTGGCTTCCTCTGAGCTTGTTATTCTCAAATTAGGCCCTCGATTCATTGTCTTTCTATAATTAACACTCATTCTCTCTTTATCTATGCCAACAATTAAAACTAACTCAGAGTCCCCAGCTTTGGCTATATGAAATTATTTGGTGCTCTCATGAACAATACAGAATGCTGCAGAAAATGTGGACGAGAGACAGCCCCTTGTAGTTATGAGCTTAGGGGGCTGCTTCTAAGATGGGAATGAAGCCGGTCCTTTTGCAATTAACGTGTGTTCTGTAGGTCTCCAGAAAACAAAGCAAAAGGCCATAAGATCCCTGATGACACCGAAAATCTCAGACTAATAGATCAGAAATAACCGCAAAAACAGATTTGACTTTCTGAAAGGGTACTACCGCAGAACCAAGGTGGACTTTGGGCCCACCCCAGGCTCTTCTGAGGCCTGGCCTAGGAGAACAGCCCCAAGTGACCAGAGCAGTCCTGAGTGAGCTGCCATTCTCCCCGCTGTTCCCAGCCCCCTCCAGCGGCCTGGCCTTTCCTGGTGACACCATGGGCACCATACCCTTCTCCTCCCCCAATCTTGGCACCTTCTTGGGCATGTCACCGTGGCTACACGCCTTCCTCTTCTTTTGGCCTCCAACTCTTTTTGGCTTTGGGGGAAGCTGAGAGTACATAAGAGGGGGGTAGTGAGGTGCCAGCTATGGCTCTTCAGGGAGTTACTTCGAGACTGTGCCACGAGCAGCATTTCTAGTGTTGAGGGACCCAGTGCAAATGAAAGCAACAGAAATGGAGGAATGGGCAATGGAGAAGCCAGGACAGGGTGGGGGAAGGTAGACAGGGATGTTCGTTGAGAGAGCAAACAGAGGGAGAGGGATGTCTCGATGGCAATGGAGAACAGGGAAGGGGTGGCACATTCTCAAGTAAAAAAGTAGACTGGACACAGGAATCAGGAAGTCCCAGTTGGAAAAGAGAAAGAGACAGGAGAAAACAAGAGGGCAAATTACATCAAGTTACTGGACATTCAGGCCTTTCAGTTGCGGGTGTCCCATCCCTGTGGTCTCCCTCTGACCCAAGCCAGTGACAAACAGCACAGCCCCACTTCCTCAGAACAGGAGGGACCATCTTCCCATGGGATCTTGCAGAGGGAAGGCTTGTCCATCAAGGAAGTCCCTTGTCTTTGCCCTTCCTCCCTCCCGAACCAGGTGATGATCCCACAGTAGCGATCTCCATACCTCAGTCAGAGCAGCCCCACTCCCCAGGCAGGCAGGGCTGGGAGAAGACTCCAGGACCTTCCCACCTCTTCACCCCACCAGCAACCTCAGCGATACTTACTTACAATAACTACCACGATGATGGCACAGATAGCTCCCAGCATGATCATCATCTGAGGAAACATTGACCAAGAAATGGGTCCTTGGATTTGGGGAAGAGGAAAGAGATGTTCCCACTAGAGATGTGGGAAAAGAACTTCCTCCGTCCTTGGGACAGTGGAAGAAACCACACATCACCCAGGAGATAGGCAGGCCTCTCGGGGAGGGCAAACCCTCCTGTCTCATGTTCCCCATGAGACAACCACCCCTGCACCACCACTGAGGCTTCCCAGAAACATCAGAGCATCTGCAGCTTGCTCCATTTCGCTTGGCTCCTATTGCCTGAAGGCTTTGAAAGGAATGCCAGTGGAGGTGCAGACTTGGGATCTTTAGTCAGTTGGTTCATTTTTCATTATGAAGTATTCCGCTAATTCCTAAAAGCTGCAGGTATTTAAATATATACCTACCCTAGCCATCGTGTGGATGTTGGCTGTGTGTGGGGAAGAGCCAGGCGAGATTTTCCCAGGGGTCTTTGGGGAAAAGCAGCCTGACCGCTTCTGAGCTCCTCGGGTAGGGCTGGCACCCAGTTAGTGGTTCTGAGTACTCTGGCCTACCCTGGCGGCCAATTCTGGGTAATGCATCTCAAGGAGGCCTTCAGATTTCCTCCCCAGAGTTCGGCAGGGCAGAGATCCTGGGCCACCAGAGGTGAGGAAGGTAGAACCTGAGGGTTTTCTTGCCTTCTATGAGTTAAGGCCCAGGAAGAGAAGGCAGAGAGGACAAGACAACTCACCTTGCAGTTTTTCCACCAATACTTCCTCTTTAGCTTGGCAGCGCTGCTCTCAAATTGTGATGCTCCCACCTGCAAGGCATCAGCTCGGTCATCCAGCTGTGACAGTATCTCATCCCTCTTCAGGACCTTGTCCACATTCACACGCATGATGTCCACCACCTGGGGGGGGGGGGTGCAGAAACAAAGCTAGTAAGCTTCCCTGCTAGAGACAGAGGTAAAAACAATGGAATCTCAAGTCTGGCCCTGTGTAACTCAGGGATGCCTTGCTTCCCAGAGCTTTTAGCTACCCCTCTATTAAAAAAAAAAAAAAAAAAAAGTTTCTAAACTTGTATCATCTGGAAACTCTCAAAAGAAAGAGTTCTCCACTTACTTCCTCCACTTGTGCCTGGGTTTGTTGTAGTCGTCTGTTACTGGTCATATTAGGAGGAGG